TGAGACACTGTTGTCTACGGTACAAGAAAAACTTGATTTATTCATATGTATTTATTCCTATAATTTTTATTATCCTCAAAGTAAATACTATTGTGCTTACAAGAATCTGTAAGTCCACACAAATACAGTCTCCCTTCCCGGTCCATATCCCCACCTTCAACTTCCTACCTATAGCCTCTTTGGTGTTCCTTAAACACAATTAGCATGTGCCCACCTCTTGGCCTTTGTACTTGCTGTTCCCTTGCCTGGAACATTCTTCTTCCTTTTATAGGCATGCCTCTGCCTGACCTCTTTCAGGGCTCTGTCCAAGAGTCACTTTATCACTGAGGCCTTCACTGACCTCCCCACCACCCCCACTTTAAAATACTACCACATCTACTTCTCCCAATCCTTATTCCCGTTTGCTTTAGCACTTACCACCTGACACACTTTGATTTTACTCATTTATTTGTTTACTGTCTTTCTCCATTCATTAGAATATGAGGTCTAGGAGGGCATGCATTTTTGCTTATTTTGTTCAGGGCTGTTTCCTCAGTACCGAGAACATTGCCTGACACTCAGTGGGTACTAGAAAACTATTAAGTGGATGAGTTAATGAATGCATGCAAAAGGAGTCACTGGACAATTACCATATGCCAGCTACTGTGCATGACAAAAGACATTTGGTGTGAAGAAAGAAGTAACTAGACGATTACAGTACTGTTGGTAAATTTTATGAAAGAAGTGCTGTCATAGGGGCGCTTTGAAGAACAAAAGAAGGGGACCAGGCCCACAGGTGGGGGCACTGAGCTCTAAGTGATGGAATGGGTAGAGGAGAGAGGACCAAAGAGAAGTTGTAGGAATAGCCAGCCAGAGGTACAGTGGTGCAGAGACGCAAAAGCATGCCTCCTGTGGTGAGCTACCAATCTTACAAAAGCTCCTGCTTTTCTCAAAAGCTATGGAAAGCCATTGAAGAGTTTTTCAGTAGAGGAAAGGTAAGAACCCATTAGCCTTCTAGAAAGCTCACTCAGGCAGCACCGTGCAGAGAGGTGGAAGGAGACTAAAGGCAGAGTGGCCCTCAGGTGGACGCCCATCAGCTAGCTGGGAGAGAAGAGGGTTTGAACAAGGGCATAGTGATGCAGGTGATGAAGAGGGCAGGCTGGAGAGATTCTTGAGTAATTATCTGATATACTTGAGCAGGAAGGGGTAAAGGATCACTCCCAGGCCATGAGTCACACACTTTTTGGAGAAGGCAATCACCAAGTAGGACGATCGTATTTCTCTGACTTACTTGCTCACCATAGTCCACATATTTTACAGTATTTAAAAATGGAATCTAGCAGGGGTGAAGGTAAACAGGAAAGAAAATCAAGGGCGCTGTGTAATTTCTTTCTTGTTTATAAGTTTTAACATTGCATAGCCCTCCATGGCCTCTTCCAAAAAGATCACAAAAACTTTGGTTTTAAAATTTGTCTGCAGATGAGTGATGTTATTACTCCGCACTTGGAATTTTTCAGTGGCTCATTTGGTTTTTATCTTTTGAATACATCATCTAGAACCTGTACCAAAATAAGTGTATTTTAAGGTTTAAATTATAGTTTACACTTCTGGAGGTAAACTTAAAGAAATACAGTTTAATATGTTGAGATTATATATGGTGCACAGTTTTTAATCTTGAGACATGTACACAGAAATTATTTTGAAAAATGAAGAGACCAGATTGTTCCCATTTAAATTGAGCCTCTACAAAGTATATGCAAACATAACAGTGCCCACCAAAAAATATCTAAAAAAGAACAATTTATTGATTAATAAAAATGGAATGAAAAATTGACTCTTTAGTCTGGAAAAATATTTGATCCAAACTTAAGTCATGGAGACAATAATAATGGAATTATTTTAGAAATCTTAAAACACTAGAACAATTGGCTTTAATTTAAGGAATAATAAAAGGAATAATTTGACTAGTGAGTAATGAACTTACGACATTGTTCATCTGAGTCATTATTCGTAATGACTTTTGATCAGACTGAAAATATAAATAAATTTAAGAGGATTAGATAGGTTAGTGAATGGTTGTATGGCATTTGCCCGTTACTTTATTAATTTATATTTGTTCTAGAAGTCACAAAACTAGACAAATGTAAACATCTTAACCAACTGGTAGCAACACACTTTAACTTCAAAATCAATTTTTTTAAAAGATTTTATTTATTTATTTGCTAGAGAGAGAGAAAGAGCACGCAAGCAGGGGGAGTTGCAGAGGGAGAAGCAGGCTCCCCGCTGAGCAGGAAGCCCCATGCAGGGCTGGATCCCAGGACCCTGGTGTCATGACCTGAGCCGAAGGCGGATGCTTAAACAACTGAGCCACCCAGGAGCCCTTAAAATCAATTTTTGAGCAGTGAAGCTTTTATTTGTAAACTTAAATTTAATGACCACAATGTCATAGGTATATAATGGTTTTATTAATCTAAGGACACTCAAAACACATTAAGCAAAATCTTGATCAGCAAAATAACTCTTTGGTGTGTGTGTGTGTGTGTGTGCGCGCGTGTGTGTGTCTATACTTACTCGAATGTATGTCTGTGCCTTATATCCAGCTTCAGTCTATTCCCACTCCCCTGCTAGTAACAGATGACACTTGGCTTGCTACCATTTTTCCCACCAGTGAGATCTAAGGACTATATGCACATTTTTGGTAGCTGAGAATATATCCTTGGCAACTTCGTTATGAATAATCCACAAGACATGTATTCACAGTTCAAAGTTAATGTTACATCTTTAAAACCGCTTTTATTTTTAGAGTTTAGCAAAAATAGAAGTAGTTTCCTAACCGTGAAGAAAAATTTTGTATTTATTTTCTCTATAGCTATCTTTTGATTTTCATGAAATATTGTGTTAAAATAGACAATATAATTTTGTAGATTTCATGGTTATGGGTAGTCTTTCTGAATCTTTAATGTGGTCATGCAACAGAGACCAAATTAGAAAATACAGAAATGTCAGTCTCTAGTTAAAACACTTGATTTCAAATTTGCTCTGATTTTTCTATGAAATATTCCCTTCCTGGGTTATCCATCAATGTAGTGAAAAACTCAACTGTACTGCACAATCTTTTTTCAAGTGGCAAAGTTAGGTTTAAATGGAAACAAACCTTTTTGAATTGAACATTTCCATTCTCAGTCTAAACACTGAATTAATGTACTTTTTGTTATATGATTTCCTTTCTAACATCAACATTTTAAGAAATGAAATGCCCTAGAGATGCTGGGGCAAATGGAATCATAGACCATGATAAAATCCAAGTCTTCTTCGACTCTCAGCTCTCCCATCGCTACAACTTCCAAATTCTGCCTTTACTTAACATTAGCATTCACTTCCCAAACAATTTACCCAAGTGAGAGATGATTAAGCCTGTTTATGTGCTAAGGGGAAGGAACTAGTGGAAAGCAGGAGGCTCTGATACAGATGCATGGATAATTGTTGGAGAAAGATCCCCGAGGACAGAGACAAGGATGGATTCCAGAGTCTACTGGATGCATCTGCCTGCAGAAGAGGGATGCCTCTTCTCCCTCTGACATAGGAAGGAGGTCCACGTGGGTTTAGATTGATGAGAGACATAATGTTGAGGGAATTTACACTTGATATCCTCTATTTTCTCTGCAAAATCTGAAACAGGGAGAATTTTAAGTAGAAGGGGTGAAATGGGGAGGGAGGCTGTCTGACTGCACAGATATACCAGATAACCAGCTCATTAAGAGGTTAGTCAGTTGAGTAAATAAACAAGGAACATAGAAAGGTGATATTGCACAGTGCGCTTTCAACAACCTAAAGCTGATTTTATGAGGAAATTCTTAGTGTTCCTGTGAGGATTACAAAATAATTTATGAGGAACAGATTCTCTGAATGTTCCTAAACATGGTGTATTTTTAATAAAAAAGTTATGCATGACTAATTCTCCCTCTAATGTGCACTCTAGTGCTTTCTTTAATAGTACAGAGTATGAATTAAGATGCTGATTAACTGAAATGTCACACATTGAAAATAGGCTAGCCATTCATTAGGTGTAATGGAATACAGAGCCAGTTAACATGAAGTGATAGAGTAAACTATCATTTACTATCATTTATAAAGTATAACTTTGTTAAAATATACTAAAATTAAAAGTATTTGTAAAAAGAATTAGAAGAAAAATGCTCAATATTTTATGTAAAAATAGACATAAATAGTCAGAATTATAGCTGGATGTCTTTGTGCTCTTTTCCACCATCCCAAAGCTTCGCCTAATTCTACATAAAGCCAACAGAATCCCAATGCTGACTTTGTGGTTGAAAAACAGCTAAATCTCAGAACTGCCGTATTTCCATTTTATATGTAAATATTCCCATCCATCTTCCTAAATATTCTATTCCCCCCACGCGCCCAGTATCATAGTTATCGACAGCTGACAGCATCTTTTGTTTCCTTTTCTGGTACACCCTAGGTGCCACAGTTGACCTTGGCATCCCCTAGTTTGTAAACAAGTTTTTGTGCCACATTTCATAAGAGGAAGAATAGGACAAAACATGTTTCTTTGTAATGCTATTCAATGATTCCCTTTGCAAATCCGCTTCCTGAAGTTTTGCAGATGCATAAGTCACATAATGTGCTGCTTGCTGGGGAACTGCATTGCATTTTCACTGCTCCTAGCAGTAACATCTCCAGCCTCTTCTAAATGAGATTGAGGTGGTAGATGTACAGATATTTGAAGAAACAAATGCACCAGAACAGCAAAGATTCTTTTTTTAAAGGAAAAATCAGAATCTAACTGCATATGCTTAATGGTCTTCAAAAGAAAACAAGAGAGAAGAAAAGACCTATTGTGTACTTCCAACCAGTAATTTCCGTTTTCCCCGACATACAAAACATCAGCATATTTCTGCACAGCATAGAGAACCTTGCAGACTAGGACAGTTTTAATTGGCCGTTTAAGTTTAAATGGTTACATTAGTATGTTAATTGAATAATTTTTCTATTTTTAGGGTCCTCTGGGGCCTCCAGGACAAAAGGTAGAGTATAAACAGTACTGGGGATGTAATTATACTTGCATTGCCTAATGCCTAGCATGAGAGGTGAATAGAATTAGCTCCTGTAAGCCATGCTGAAGCATCTGGATTGTGCATTCTCCTTTCTAAAAATACAATCATTTAATGTGAGCCATTAGATTTCTAATCAACTCCATTATAGAAAATCCAATAAATCCAGAGTAAATTCTTTTTAAGCTGTCTGTCGAACTTTAGGTTATTGAATTTTTAATTAAAATACTGGCAAAACATTGTGACAAAACTTAGAATTTGAAAGGTCATATGACTTTGCAGACTGAGTGCATGGTCCTGCTCAAGGATTATGACCAAATGATCGTAGAACAGACCAGAACAAAAGATGTACTTGTTGTTTGGTGACTGTATTCCATTGGTCCATTAGTGTTTTCCTTTGCTGAGGTAAGCTGAAAAGTGACTTCCTGATTGTCATTTCCCAGTCATCAGAATTCACCATTACATTCTGATGGAGAGGGTCTAGCGCTTCTAAAATTACATCAATACTACAGTAGTAAATATATCAATAGTAAGTAGGTGGCCCTTTGCCAACAAAATATTGCTAAGTTCCCATTCCCTGTTACAACTCCCACCACGCAATGGGGAAAAGGGGATATTTAACCTGCAGAAAACTAAAGAAAACAATTGTATTACAACAGGTGGAAAAGTGATTATTCTTTATCTTTGGAATCCATCAAAGATAGAGACTTTTTATTCCCCAAGCACTGGGCATGTGGCATCTGTTGAAACATAATCCTACAAACCAAGTCCAAAGCCAATGAGTTGTGAGACAACTTGTGTATAAGAACACTTTGTCCTTCGCAATAATGTCTCTATTAAGCATGGTGTGAAATTGTAAAGCTACCCTAATCCACATGCGACCAGGCTAAAATTACTGCCTGAGGCTTCAGGAAGTCTTTTAATGACCCACTCAATATAATTACCAAAACACTAAGGAACTTGCCATCTCAATTTGTTTTGCATATAATGACTATATATTTTTTAGTGACTATATTTTTAATAAACTTTCTCTTTTAGAGCAGCTTGAGGTTTATATTTACTCTTTAAAAAAACTTTTTTCCCATTATTATTAAAGAAATTTAATATCATACATCAACTTAGAAAGATCTGTTTTCTAGGGCTAGACAAAGAATAAACATATTTTATTTAAAAATGATTTCTCCAGAGCCTGAAAGGGGGTGACATCACTATCCGAAAACATTTGTTAATGTTCTATATCCAGGTAAATGTCATAGATTTTCTCAGGTGATAATTAGGTTTCTTATTCTCAGTTCACCCCACCTACATCCAACCGTTCGTAATCACCCCAGTGCAGATGTGCACACATGTCTACACACACACACTCTTAACTTAATATTTGATGTGTTGTTGTGTTATTCCTAGTCAGTGTTTAACATTTGTAACACCTTTTCTAGTCTAGGAAGACATATTCACACTCACCTGGCTTAAATGTACACCCTGAAAGTCCAGGGGAAAATGCTTCAAATACAACAAATTTGAGTGCCTTATTTGACTAATTGTGAAACAAGTGGTTGTTATTTTAATTACCTTTTGTTTTATGGTATTTAAACTCCTGAAATGCAAGAGTTACTGCTACTGCTAGGCTTTTCCAGATGGAACTAAGCCTGTTTATTTCTTAAAAGCACCAAAATTTAGAGCCATGTGGCCTTCTGATAGCTGTGGATCCCAATTTATGATGTGAATTTCTTTAAAATCATATTAGGGATAAGTGGATATTTAGAAACATGGTTAAATTTAACTCCGTAGTTTCTGGGAATGCTTGATGAATCTGCTTACATTATTATATATCTGAATACCATGCATAAGATCTGAAAAACTTAGCCTTTCACACATGTTTTAGCAAGGTAAGGTTATGGCTGACATAATTAATACAATACAAACTTAGAATTGAAATATTTTGTGATTCTATGCTTAATTTAATCATGTGTCTTCTTAGGGTTCTGTTGGAGTACCTGGAATTCCAGGGGTGAATGGTCAAAAGGTAAGTTCTATAGAATATTTTTGATCATTTAAAGGGATTAAAATCACAAAATTATTCTAGTCAGTAATGCTAGTAAAAAGTTTATATACTTATAAAAGCACTACATATACTTTTGAAATGCAGGGAAATTATGTGCAAAAGATCAAACTAATTTAATTTTTAATGATGCATTAAATAGTCAGAAACTCTTAGAAAAATTTCCATTCTATTTTGATAAGTTTTGTAGGAGATACAACTATATCTTTCTTATAAAGTATATATATATATATATATAATAAATATACATAGAATAGGAAAAATTTTGTGTTTAACAGTAATTGTCATAAACAAAATATACTCCAGTTTATTCTTGTCATGGCAAAAGTAACATGTATTATTTCTTTCATTAACAAAAATTCTTACAGAGGGAACCTATTGGAATATTCTGAATTTAGGAGCAAGCTCTTTTTACTATCAAGAAAAATTAGGGTTTAAATAGACTCGCCAAGCTCTGGTAGTACACTTTTACTGTACTGTTAATAATGAGGGGGAAAATAAAATAAGAAAACCCCACAACTTTACATAGACATATCTATATGTGTGGTTACATCTATTCCTTCAACATACTTACTGGTTGGACAAAGCATCTAGCATCATCCCACAAGTGGGTCTGCTTTTCTATGCTCCCCAATAGTGCTGACTGGCTTTTCAATCTGGAACCTCTACAGAGACCAGGAAAACCATAGGGGCAGCTAACAAAGCCAGTCTACCAGGAGCCAGGAAGCTGAGCTAGGGACTTTCTTGTCTCCCTTAGAGTTTTTGGACTAACCCTATAAAATCCTGTGACCCATCAGCTTGTGTTCAACAGAAAATTTTTAAATCTGTGCACTCTGGATTAAATTCTGAAATCATAAGGAGCCGAATATTTACAGACAGAAGAGACCTCCTAGTGACCTTTCCCATCTTGTCCATCTTTTCTTCTTCAAAAAGATACTAACAATCACTATTTAAAACCTACAGTGGCTAGCAAAAAGCATGAGTCTGCCACTTACAGGCCGCATGAATTTTGGCAAAGTCCTTGAATTCTCTGGCCTCAGTCTCTTCATATGTAAAAGGAAGACAAAAACAGTTTCTACCTACTAGGGTCAACGTGAGGATTAAATGGCAAGTAGACATAAAGCCTTTATGACAGTGGTGATCTTACAATGAAACGTTTCCTTCATTGATCTGTATCTTAAACAAGGTCCTCTGCTTCCACGATTACTCAATTCCCAGTGAAACTGATGTCCTCAACCAAGGCTTATGGTATCCGCTAATCCACAAACCAAACACTGCGCACTCCATGGGAATGAACTGCCCAGCTCACTGCTCTATTTGCCACTTAATAAAATACATATCTGTTTGCTTCACAAATCCTGGTAAAGAGCAAAGATTAACTTTCTATTTAGAATATTTCAGATCATGGAGGGATACATAAAAATTTGGAAGTATATTCATTCTAAGATGGATTTTAAAGTTATGTAAGTCAAGATAATATTTGGAGAAGACAGATATGGATATAAGAGAAATGTTTTTAACATTGGTGAAGAACAAAGCTTATACCCTTAAGGTTAATGTTTGCTCTGTCTTCTTTGCTTCTTTTCTTTTTTCAACTTTGGGACAATCATGAAAATTTATAGAAACCTTTAACCTGAAACAAAACAACTTTAAAACTGTCACATACATGTTTATGAAAACTGCATATTCTTTATTTTTGCAAAGGAAATATGCAATTTCCTTAGCAAGAGAAAGGAATGTGACATTTTCTTGTCCTAGTCACCAAGTTTAAATTATATTTCAAGAAAATAGACAGTTAATATTTGCAGTTTTATGTCTTGTTATACATCTTTGTGGCATTTTAAAGTGTTTTCTATAGGACCTAGGGAAGGTAAATAATTTCACACTTTTATGACGGTATTAGCAAAATGTAGTTTACGATTGTTTTTCCTACTCCATAGAATTTAACCTAAAACTTTGTGGATGAAATTTCTGTTAACACTAGTGATTATCTAACATTTGTAATATTTGCTGTATCATCTCTAGGAAAATAAAGTGCAAAACCATGAGTCCTTCACCGAAACAGCAGGTCATTTAGACAGTAAAAACAAAGCTGGAAATGGAGTAATAATTCTGTACTTAAGCATATGACATATGTTTTGGATCTCTACAATTTGTTTTTCTAAGAAAAGAGCTTACAATGACATAATTTTTTAAAGCACCTAAATGTCCTCAAGCTGTCTTAAGAAAACATTTTTTCTACATTACAATTTCACTTTTCCAAAGAAGTACTTTTGTGGCTTAGAAAATATTTTTCAAATAATGGCTAAGGAAGAATATGATTTCTAAGCCATCAGAAATACAACAAATGACAACTAGAAAATAGAAAGATTTTTCTCTCACAAAAAAGGAAGAAAAATATTTTTAAAAAGTATTTTGTTTTCCATCCAGATTGACAAAATTGGTGATTGGCTTTGGCTAATAAACTTGGTACTGACATTTTTTTTTTTACACTATTTTCCTTCAAATACGGGTCACCTTGACTGCTAATCTGAATATTTCTTATTTTGTAATGGTCTTTCAGTGATTCAGATTGTATTAGGAGAAAGGACTTACATAAGCAGTAACATGGCATTAAACCCAAATCTAGCTTTTTCTGGCATCACAATCTACAAAGGGCTCCTGAACATCTTCTGTGAAATGTGGAAGGCAGTGTGGTATGGAGGAAAAAGTGTGGACTCTGTAGTCAGAATGAATGGGTCAGATCGTAGTTCTCATTTGGGCAAGTTATATAATGTTTCTAAGGCTTAGGTGTAAAATATAAATACAGACCTTGCAGTATTAACTAGATAATGTCTCTAAAGTGAAGGTAATGTTACAGATGCTCAATACATATTATCAAGTATCTGTAGGAATAGTATCACACTGTAGGAGTTTCAGCAAATGAGCCCTAGGTTTACCCTCAAGCAGGGAGAAGAAGCCAGCTGAATCATGATAGGAAGAGTATGAATATGCAAAATTACACAGGAAGGTAAAATGTTTCTCTGTGCCCCGGCTTTTTCCCCACTCACCCTCCCAGGAGCGCTGTCCTGGAGTCAAGATGCTCTGTTTTCTTCCACCTCATGTGCAGCCTTTGAAAGACCCTTTTCCTGTCTGGTCTTAAGGCAGTTGCATTTGTGAAATGAGACCAAGGGCTGTACTAATTTATTTCTAAGTCTCCAAGAGATAAAGTCACCCGTGTCTCATTTTTGATTCAACCAGCTTCTAGTATTCTCTGTTCCCAATTCTGAAAGCTGTTGTTTCCATAATTTAGATTTGTTGCCAGCAGCCAAAGCAGTTAGGGTAGATTTAATACTAAGTCTTACCTAAAAATATGAAATGTTGTCCTCTTCTTCCCTAGCTAATTGTATTGGACACAAAATCTTGTAATTCTCAAGAATAAATCTTGTCAGTCTAGGGTGGCTCAGTTGGTTAAGCAACTGCCTTCGGCTCAGGTCATGATCCCAGAGTCCTGGGATCGAGTCCCACCTTGGGCTCTCTGCTCAGTGGGGAGCCTGCTTCTCCCTCTGACCCTCTCCCTTCTCATGCTGTTTCTCTCTCTCTCTAATAAATAAATAAATAAAAATCTTAAAAAAAAGATCTAATTATACCTTTAGATCTTGTCAGTCTAAAGGTATAATTACCATTTTGTTTGTGCTCCATTATTCATTATCCCTCTCTGTCTGTCTGTCTGTCTGTCTCTCACACACACACATGCATACATGAAGAGATGTATATCTAAATATTTGACAATTAAACCCTACTTCTCAGATATAATGGAGAAGTGGGAGCTTTCAAAAATAATTTTGTGGTAGAACCATCTTTCAAACCATCTTTTAAACTATCTTTTTAACTTTTGTCCCTTTGACAAAATTAATTGCTGTCTATAATTTTTGGTAACCAGGTAATGGGTATTAAGGGAGGCATGTGATGTGATGAGCACTGGGTATTATACACAACTAATGAATCATTGAACACTACATCAGAAATTAATGATGTACCTATATGCTGGCTAGCTGAACATAATCAATTTTTGTATATATGTGTGTATCAGAATTTTTAAAATCTCAACTTTTATTAGGTGGTATTAGAACCCTATATTTTTCTATTCTTTCCACATTTTCACATTAATTGGCACCCATAAAAGCAAATCATCATAATGACAATTTACTTGAATAGCAATCAATGCCCAGCACTGGGCAAATACAACTGAAGAGGAGGTCTGGGGACAGAGACAGGGAGCATTAAAAGTCTAATTGGTGCAGTTAACACCCTTGTCTGTTTGTTACTATGAAAATAATAATAAAGATTTTTAGGATTAAAAACCAATTATTTTGTCTAAGCAAGCTAGAATATTTTTGAAACCCCAGAATCATAGGGATTGTTTCCAAAGCAAAACAAATATCAGAAGATCTTATTCATGGATTTTCCAAGTATTTTCTAGAATTTATTATTTTTAAAACTTCAAAACATAAAATAAATAAAAAATGATGTTAGCATATCATCTACGAATCTATCCCAGATAGCTATGTAATTTTTAAGGAACATTAAACTTTAATTAATTTATAGTTATGGTATTTAGAATTCCTTTTCATCTCTTATCCATGGATCTCACAGTCTTCACTGACATTAATCCTCACAACATACTTCTAATGGCATTTTTATTGTAAGTGTATTTAGAGAGCAGATAAATTGAAGCTCTCAGACTTCCAAAGGTCAAGCTGTTTATTCAAGTCTATTCAGTGGGCCGTTCAATGAACTCAATATTTTTTATCCTTGATTCACTTACTGTAACAACTAAATACACTCTTTTCTTTGGCTTCCTTGGCTCTATCATTAAGCAGTCTGAATTAAATTCCTGAAGGATTTGAATATAGTTGTTTGTTTTCTGGTTGGTTAGCTTAAAATTTTCCTATAGCAGAATTTATTCAGTGGTCCCATTACCC